ATGTGCCTCACTAATGCTGCGTGCTCGTTCGCACGTGTGTGGGGGTGGGTGGGGGGTGGGGGGGGTGATGCACGTATTGGACGTCCACCTTATTCTTTGAGATAGAATCTCTCACTGAACTTTGAGCACACTAGTTTAGCTGGGCTGGCTGGCCAGTGAGGTCCAGGGACCCTGCCTCCCCAGCACTGGGATTACAGGTTCTTGCTTCTGTGTCCCGTTTTTCCATGAGTGCTAGGGATCTGAACTTTGGCCCTCGTGTTGTAGGGCCATATCGTTTTACCCACTGAGCCATCTCCGCAGCCCCTGAGGGGTTTCTTAGACCAATCATGCTGCCAGTTAACCGTGATAGGGGGGGAAGTGGGTGAGATATGGAACCAAGGGGAAGATATTTTCTTTGCTAACCTGGCAGCGTTCCCAGGAGTGGGGCTGGGACACCAACCCAGCCATAAAACCTTCAACCCACACCTGTCCTGCCTGCAAGATGTGCTGGGACAATGGTGGCTTGGAGCTAGTGAGAGTGACCAACTAATGATGGTCTAACTTGAGGCCCAAGCCACGAGACTGAGCCCATGCCTGACACTGCCTGAAAGAAAAAAGTCAGTGATATCTATTGATATTTCTGCTATACTCATAGATCAGTGCCTGGCCCAGTTCATCATCAGAGAGGCTTCCTCCAGCAGCTGATAGGAGCAGATGCAGAGACCCACACCCAGATATGCTTGGGGAACCCTGCAGAAGAGGGGGAGGAAGGATTGTAGGAGCCAGAGGGTTCAAGGACATCAGAAGAACCTGTCCCACAGACAGGGACTAAAGTGACAACCACAGAGCCTGCATGGGCCTGCACTATGTCCTTTGCATATGTGGTTGTTTAGCTTGGGGTGTTTGTGGGACTTCTAACAGTGGGAGAGGGCAGTGTTTCTGACTCTTCCCTGCTCCTGGTACCCTTTGTCTTTTACTGGGTTGCCTAGTCCTCAGCCTTGATATGAGGGTTTGTGCCTAGTCTTATTGCATTTTGTTATGCCGTTCAGTTGATATTACTGGGAAGCCTGGTCTTTTCTGAAGGGAAACAGAGGAGCAGTGGATCTGAGGTGGGGGAGAATGGTAGGGGTAGAGGGAGGGGAGGTTGTGGTTGGCTCAGATGTATTGTATGAGAAAAGAATTAAAAAAAAGAGAAAAGAAAAAACAATAGTTTGAGAGACTAGTCTGTTTTTACAGTAGACAAGACAGAAACTGTCAAGCCTAAACCATGGAGGCATAACACAGAGAACTTAAAAAAGGAAAACATTTTAATGACTTTTCCAGGGACAATTGGGTAGTGGTTTTCTTTCAGTTAATGTTTGAAGCAATTGGGAAGATGCTTTTTATTTTAAAATTGATTGCACTTACTGTGTCTGTGTGTATCTTTGTATACACATACACACGAGGTGTGTGTGTGTGTGTGTAGGTCAGAGGACAACTTACAGAAGTCATTTCTCTTCTTCCACATGGGCCCTGGGCTCGAACTCAGGCAGTTGAGCTTGGTGGCAAGTACCTTTACCAGCCATCCTGCTCCTTTCTCTTAATACGATTAGTTACCCAGTTATTTAAGCCATTCGCTTATCTTGTTTGGTTCTCAAGAGGTTTTTATAAGTTCAAAGAATATAACCCTTGGAGGTTTTGAGGTTACAGTGGGTGAGTTTAGTATTTTGTTTTGTTTTGAATGATAAAGCCTTGTTATGGTAGCCCAGGCTGGCCTTAACCATAAGCTCTTTCTGCTTCCAAGTGCTGAGATAACAGACCCCAGCCACCATTGATGATGGTGGGTTTTGTTCGTTTGATTTGAGACAGAATCTTGTTGTAGTCAGGCTGGCTTGGACTGGTTATCTTCCTGCTACCTAAAATGCTGGTATAGGTTGGTTGTTCTTGGTGCTGTTATAAGTACTGACCAGCCTCCTGACCGGCCAAACACACCTAGAGCCTAGCTCAGTGGCACATGATTGTAATCTCAACAATTTAGAAGACTGAGACAGGAGGATGATGAGTTTGAGGACAACCTAACTCAAACAAAACTAAACAAGTAGATAATACATATCCAGCTTATTTAGGCAATTTTAAATGTGGCAAATGTTAAAATTAAGAACTGAATTTCTAACTGCGGATAGGGGCACTGGGAGACAAGGGCAGAAGGACCATGAATGGAGGCTAGCTTGAACTATATAGCAAGAGTATTCTGAGTCTTATGTGGAAAAGAATGAACATGGTCCTTTTCATAAAATAAAAGTAGAAAATACAGGACTGGGGGATGACTTGGTCAGTAAAAGTGCTCGAGGACCTGAGTTTGGATCTCTAGCACCCAGGTCAAAAGCTGGAGCTGGCTGACTTGCCAGCCTAGCCACATCAGTGAGTTCCAGGTTTAGTGAGAAAGAGACCCTGTCTCAGAAAATAGTGAGGAGCGTGATTGAGGAGAGATTCAATGTTAACCACTGGTCCCCACACAGATGTGTATGTGTGCATGCATGCTTACACACACACACACACACACACACACACACACACACACACATACACACACACAAAGAGAGAGAGAGGGAGAGACACACAGAGAGAAATACACCTTTAGCTGTGGATATTAAGCCAGGAAGGAGCTAATCAATCTCAATTTCTTTCTCTTTCTCTCTCTCTCTCTCTCTCTCTCTCTCTCTCTCTCTCTCTCTCACTCATTTTATATTGTTTTTCAAGACAGGGTTTCCCTGTGAAGCAGTCCTGCCTGTCCTGGAACTCACTCTGTAGACCATGCTGGCCTTGAACTCATAGAGATCCACCTGCCTCTGCCTCCTGAGTGCTGGGATTAAAGTCGTGCATCAGCATGGCCCAGCTGTCTCTCTTATTTCAAAGTCTGCATTTTCACATCTTGCAAATCAGCATTTCTTCTCCCAAACAATAATATTTGGAGTGCCTTGGTTTGTATTCTCAGTGAGAAATACTAAGTTATATGTCAGCCTATGAAACAAGAATATAGCTACACATTTACATTTACTTCTTTTAAAAATTTTTTTTTTTTAATTTTACATGTACGACTGCCCAAATGTATGTATGTGCACCATGTCTGTCTAGTGCCTGTGGAGGCCAGAAGACAGCGTCATAATCCACTGGAATTGGAGTTACAGGCCTTTGTGAGCCACCTTGTAGGTGCTAGGAATTGAACCTGGGTCCCCTGGAAAAGCAGCAAGTATCTCCCCAGATATTTATTTCTTAGAGAGAGGGAAGAGAGAGGCGGGGGGGGGGGGGAGAGAGAGAGAGAGAGAGAGAGAGAGAGAGAGAGAGAGAGGGAGGGAGGGAGGAAGAGGAAGAGGAAGAGAAAGAACAAGAACACTATGGCTATGGCTACGGCACATTTGGAGGTCATGGGACAACTATCTGATATTTTTTCTGCATGTTGGTCCTGGGAATGAACTTGAGTTGTCAGGAAGGGCCTGTACACCCTGAGCTATCTTGCCAGCCAGAGTATATATAGCTACTTTAAATTCCTAATTTGGGGTAATCCATATGCCCTCCAATTATTACCTGAATTTATGTTTTAAAATTAATTTAGCGATCTGTATTCAAATTATCTTTTTATTTTTCCTGTAAAATGGCAAAGCATTTGCAAGCTGGTTCTCGTGGTCAACATACAGTTGTGTTCCTTACATGTCTCTGCAATGGACTCTTAGGAATCACAGAAGTGGCTTCCAAAAGGCAGACACGTAATCTCATAGAGAAATGCCTTTTTGTGTGCTTCCACCGCCCTGTGGAAACAGTCCTCAAATACTCTACACAGCTGGCATCTCAGTTCAGTCCAAATAGTTTTAAGGAAAGAAGCAAGGGAGGATGGGAGGGCTTACTGTCTTAGTGTAAATGTGGGTTCTTAGAATTCTGGCAGTATGTAGGGCCACAGCAGTCCAGTCAGGAAGAAGTCCACAAGGTAGATTTGGTTCTGCCAATGCTAACCAAAAGCTCTCTTCAACAATTCAGTTCTTTTTCCCCTTTCTTTAGTTGGCAGGGTCCCATGGTGACGGGTTTTGAAAGCAATAGTCCCCTTCAGCAGTTACCTAGCACCATGGCAACCAGGACGTCAGCAAAGCAGGATAGACCCACACAAAATAGCTGCAGCCAGGCTTCTCTCCTGCCTCCAGTTCAACTCAGCCTGAGGCCCACTGGTGGAGCTAAAACCATCTAGGCTTGTACACCCCAACATTCCTGTGTGTTGATGTGGATTTTCCCATAAGTAGAGATGTAGGAACATATATATATATAGTAAACTATATCTTGAAATTCCCCCCACCAAAACAAAACAAAACAAAACCCCCAAAGAGTATGTTTAAGGGATAAGAGGCAGAGGTGAATTGCAGGCTAGGGGCTAGAAAGCTGATGTAGATTTAGTGAAATTATTTGTTCTCCTAAGTAAAGTAAGTTGACAGTAGAGGAAGTCAGAGCCCCACATACATGGTGTGATTTGTATTTAAATATAAGACTTCGGGGCAAAGCTTTAAAAATGTTTTTGTTTACCTGCAGTAGACAAATGACTTTAAGGAGTGCCGAAGGGAGGGTAATGCTGTCCGTGGTGCTGAACACGCCATCGCCCAGATGTGCTTCAAGGGTGCCCTCAAGATAGACTAAGGAACACATAGCCCCATCGGATGCTGTTAATAGAAAGAGAATGAGGAATTGGAGAGAAAGCATAATTTTCTTCCTTTGTGAAAGCAACTCTGAAAGCTCAGGATAAAATTACCTGATGGGAAAAAAGCAGCGAGCAAGGCTGGAGGTCTGCGGCTGATCTGCCCTTTTCACATGGAGATTTTCTGATCAGAGCCAATCAGGTCAGAGATTTCTGCTGCTTTGCTCCTGAAAAGAGAAGTGGGGGAAGGGAGAGAGACGATGGCCACATTTCCCCCCAAACCACATGATCCATTTCCCATGTGACACATTCCAGAGCCTTGGAAAGGAGAAGGAGGGGCCCCGTGAGTGGGGCTGGGGGTGGGAAGATGGTTTAGCAGGCAGCCCAGCACAGCGTCATCTGGTCTCCTACCAGGAAGCAGGCTGTGAGCTGGGGGAAGGACAGATATGAATGTGTTCCCAAGGGTTCCTGGTGGTTTATGGCATCCTCCAAAGTCCTGTCCGAGAGCTGTTCCTGACCAAGAAGACCCACGGAGACTGACCCTGAAATCTAGTCCAGATGAAGGTATGTGCTCGAGATTGTTCCATCACAGCCGAGATTTGCCTCAGAGGACACAATACCTTCTCATTCTCTTATTTTTTCCAGGCAATTTAGAGATTTTGTCCGGGCTTAAATGCGTGTTAGGGGCATTAGATTTGTTACAGGTCCAGAAAAGATGCCTAGATAGTTCTGTAAAATAAATACTTCTCCAGAGTAAGCTCCTATTGATGAAAAAAATTGGTTGGAAATTGCATATATATATATATATATATATATATATATATATATAGTAATTGATAATAAAACTATAAACTCATTGATGAAAGGATTTCTTCCTGTAATCTCAGAAGGGGTGGGAAACTGATTACTCAGAAGAGCTAGATCTCATTGTCACTGTTAGAAAATCCTGTCTCATCCCTTTGAGCTGCTGTTCTGTGCCAGTGTTCTAAGAGGTTACAGGCTGTAGCTTAGGGAGCCTTTCCTGCTATTCCTTTGTGCTGTTAGCTCATCCTCCTGATATCCCTGATACCAGGAGCACCAGCATTGTCCCCAAGCTCTGCTTTAGGACACTGGACTGCCACAGAATGCCACATCTTATGGAAAGCCCTAGGGAAGCTCTTAGAGGCACCTGCCAGATTTAAAGGCTACAATCTGCCGTACACTCATCCTGGTTTCTTTCAGTATTTCTCTCCAGCACAAAGAGCTGGCAAACCCACACTGAATTTCATTTAACAGATACTTGAAAAAGTTCTTGTTCTATGAAAGCCATGATTCCAAGCATAAGTAATCATTAATCTTTACAGAATACAGTTTAGAGATAAACCCAGGCATAGAGGAGTTAGTTCTGGAGCTATTCTAGGGTCACTTAGGGAGCACCTAATAGAACAAGAATTGAATCTCAAGATCTTGAAGTCCTCATTCTTAACCACGGAGCTATACTGCTTGCCTTCTTGTGTTATCCCAAATGATGTCAACAGTCTATTGGGCTACAAATTTTGTTCAGCTGACGCTACTAGAAGATTGAGTCAGCTTGCTTAGCTAAAGCAGATCTCCAGTGAAATCTATATTTAATTTTGAATTATCCAGATAGTCATGGTCTGTACCCCCAAATAACCCAGTAAGTAATTGCCTATTCTCTCCCTCTTGTGCTGCATAGACACCTAGTAGTAAAACACCATGTTACTATGGTAATCACTGAGTCTAAAGGAAAAAAGATAAATCTGGAATTTATGTTATGGTTGACTTTTTAAATCAAACCTAGAAATATTCTTCCATCCTTGGAACCTAGTAGCAAGCCCAGCCTAAGCATATTGCCTTCATCTGATTCTCAAAAGAAAATTAGTATATCAAGACAAGTGATGGCTCAGGCCTGCAATTCCAGCACTTGGGAAGGAAGAGTTCCACAACTCTGAAGCCTGCCTGGGCTACAGAGTCAGACTCTGTCTCAATAAAAGAAGAAAACCTTAAAAAATATGCATATTAACTATGATGCCTGACTGGGTTCGTTGTTTCTAAATAATATGCTTTTAAAACAAGGAGATCTCTCTTTGCAAACTATTTTAGGTTTATAAGGGTAAAAGAAATTTTCTAAGACTTTTATGTTAGGTATTTCTGGGTTTGAGGAGATGGCACAATGTATAAAGTGGTAGCAGGTGTGAGGATCTGACTTCAGCTAGTTAGCACTGAAGTTGAAAAGAAAGTTGAATGTGGCTATGTGTACCTGTAATCTCAGCACTGGGAGGCAGAGGCAGGAGGGTCTCTTGGGCTCGTCAACCTTGACCTGTGGTCTGCATGGGCACATACACATACACACACACACACACACACACACACACACACACACAAAAGGATTTTCTCACCATGAGTGGTGGACAATGCCTGTAATTGCAGATGAGGAGTGAGAGGTTAAGTAAGAGGGTCATTAAGAGTTAAAGGGTAGCCTGGGCTACAGAGCGAGCCTCTGACTTAGAAAAGAGACGTAACACGTGAAAGATTTTCCCCCTTGATCTGTGTGAGTTTCCTTCTGACCTTTGATAATAGAAGATGCCTGATCTAAATCCTCCATGCTGTGGAAAATTGAAAGAGGTGCTGGACCTAAAACATAAAGTGGTAAGATAGGCAGCAAGCTCGGGTTCTCAAACTTCTTTCAAAACATTGTGTTCCCCTCTAGTAGTTCATTGCAAAGCACTTTGAAGAATAGTTGTTTCCTTGGTGACATAGACATTTCTCTGGGACAGGTAACCTGAAAAGTGGCCTACTGAATGGTAATCTCTCAGTACACATATGTGAACGTACGATGGAAAGACTCAAGACTCTGAGCAGCATTCTACTGCAGCTAATTTGGGGGCTTGTGTCTATTTTATTTGTTTATTTAGTTAGTTTCTGAGATGGGATTTCATGTAGCCTAGGTTGACTTCAAACTTGCCATGTAGCTGGCATTGGTCTTGAACTGATCCTTTTTGCCTCCCCTTCCCAGTCCTGGGATTACAGGCATGAACCACCATGCCCAGCTCTGAGTCTATTTTATTTGCATGTGTTTATAGTGAAGCAGCAAATATGCAGTAAGAATTTGGCAGCAGTCAAAACTATGCTTGAAGTGTATGTATGTTAGCTCGGCTCATCGTGAACCAGAGCTCAGTAGTGTCCATAAATTCTTCCCTGGGCATCACTGGCCCTCCTCATACTTCATTTGTACTTGAGGTGAAACCCTCGTAGTATGCTGGAGAGTTGGCCAGGGACAGCCCCAGCAGTCCCACACTTTGTAGTGTTTTGTCTAACACTTCTTCCTGTCACTAAACAGCTCACCTCAGGTTGAGAGGGGACATCTCCAGTGATTCTGCCCCATGCATTCTGTTGTTTAGTCGGGTATCCAGGCCCCAGAACACTGTCCAAAGAAATCTCAGAACTGAATAGACACTTTCCTAGGGACTCTTGAGATCCTGAGTGTCAGCTCGAGTTTGAGCCAGAATGTGGCAGTCAGGACCTGTGTGACAGATACTGTCTCAAGGCGTTTTCCCTCTGTGGCATTGGGGTCAAACCCAGGGCCTGTGTGTACTGGCAGGTGACAGCCCCAACCCTGCTAGGACATTTTTGAAAGCTTGCTTAGGATGTGAGTTCAAGTTGGCCAGCCAACTGTGATTAAACTAGGCACCCTCATGGTCAGACACACAATACAGCCTTTATTATTTTGCTATCTAATTAAACCAGTGTCACCTGCTAAGTTTGCTACACAGCAGAACAGCAGCCTGTTGGAAGAGCAGTTGCAATGCTTGCCGACTGCATAGATACAGGGCAGCACAGCTGAGGCCCAGCTGGGCTTTCTACCTGCCCCCTTGAATCTGAAAGGAGCAGCCCACTGAACTTGCTGAACAGAAGACAGAACAGAGAAAGTAGAGTCATTGCCTTGAGGAGAAACCCTCACACCATGGTTTTGATTTGGAGGGTAGGTGTGAAAGATCTATGAGGAAGTGGCCAGCAAACCTGAGTGCAGACTCTGAGAGAGCGATGGCTAGGTCCCATCTTGTAGTGTAGTTGCGTCTCTCCCTAGGGTATATGTATCAGAAGGGCAGGGAATAGAGCCAAGGGCCAAGTGTGGGTGCTGTATCCTCCGTGAGCCATGGTGAAAGGTGGAATGAAATGGAGCTGACTTCTCTGAGGGCATAGGTTAAGAGCAGGAGAGTCACTGTCATGACCCTGTTTGTAGCGTCACTTCCCCTTGGCAGAAACTCGAAAGAGGCAGCTCATGTAACAGACTCTCCCAGGCACCAGGCAGCTGTCATATTTAATCTTTGGAGCAACTCTGATATACTGTATTAGCCCGGAGGAAACTACAGTTCAGAGAGATTAACTAACCCGTCTAAAGTCACAACTAGTAGCCAGCATTAAACTAGTTCTCCTTGGTCCTAGTATATTGCCAGTAATGTTCTTTCTTCTGTTCTTTAAAAATAATGTATTTAGGTATTAAAATAATAAAAACATAGTTCTCAAAAATTGGAAAAGTGGGCACTGGAGCTTTTCCACAGGACCCAGGTTCAATTCCCAGGACCCACATGGTTGCTCGCAACTGTCTTAACTCTAGTTTCAGGGAACCTGATGCTTTTTTCTGGACTTTGAGGGTAACTAGGCATGCAGGTAATGCACAGGCATACATGCAGGCAAAACACGGTGCATATTTTTTAAGTAAATTGGGAAAATATAGAATGCTAAACAAGAACATGTTAAAAATCCTGATGTTTCTTTTTAGTCTTTTTTAATGTGTATCACTAAAAGCAGATGTTTGTTGAGTCCTCGTTTTGTTCTAGATAGTATTTTTGGCTCCTTTCTTTGTTGTTGTTATTTTTTAACTTTGTGTGTGTGTGTGTGTGTGTGTGTGTGTGTGTGTGTGTGTGTGTGCGCGCGCGCGCGAGCACGCTATGGATATCGCTCTGTATGCTGTAAATGTGTTGCTCTGATTGGTTAATAAATAAAGTGCTGATTGGCCAGTAGCCAGGCAGAAAGTATAGGTGGGACAAGCAGAGAAGAGAATTCTGGGAAGAGTGAGGAGTCGTCAGCCAGACACAGGATGTGAAGACAGAACTGAGAAAAGGTACCAAGCCACGTGGCTAAACATAAATAAGAATTATGGGTTAATTTAAATGTAAGAGCTAGTCAGTAGTTAGCCTGAGCTAATGGCCAAGCAGTTTTAATTAATATAAGCTTCTGAGTGATTATTTTATAAGTGGGTTGTGGAACTGAGGGGGTTTGGTGGGACCCAGAGAAAACTTTCAATTACGTGTGCGTGCGTGCGTGCGCACCATTGGAAGCCAGAAGAGGGCATTGGATCTCTGGAGCTTGAAATGAACTGCTTATCCTCCTGCCTCTGCCTCCCAAGTGTTGGACTTGCGACCATACAACAGCACACTTGGATGAACCCTTTCTCGTGTACTTTATTCTGACAACATATCAGTAGGCACTGTCGTTTTATAGATGAGAACAATAAGCACAAAGACATTAACTCGCCAGTGGCTACACAGACTGTGAGTTGA